CCCAAGAACCAAATTGCTGCAAACTGAGGAGTTGCAGTGGCCTTTTCATGGCTGAGCCTTAAAGACAAAGGAACAGGATGCCCTACTGTGTTCACTTGCTGGAGGTGTAAGGGAAAGTAAGGCACATTAAAATGCCTGAAACCTTCTTGTAATTGTGCCTCTACCTACTCTTTCTTGGCTCTTTCATCCACTCATACTGCTTATCCAGGAAGTGACTCTATGTAGGGGTCTGCAAACTTGATGGCCTTGAGATGTCGGGTCATGATTGCTGCAGGACGTGCCTGGCCGTGTGCAATTGGAAAGTCTGTAGGTATGGTGCTGTCCGGCTCCTTCCCCTTATAGCAGCGTGCTCGCGTTTGGCCTCGGCAAGGCAGGCTGCCCCCGGCTGGAGTGCGAGCCCCTCAGTCCTGCTGCTTGGCTGCAACAGGCACGAGCGCGCTTCAGAGCGCTGCTTGGCACGGGGCAAAACTGCTCCGAGCTATCACCTGGCAGGCCTTATCTTAGCCATGTGTATCCAGGACCGCCTGAGCGTATAGCAGACTACTAACTTCAGTCCGGCACTCTCTTGAACTTAAACTATTTTAGTAACATGTTATGAAAAGATATTTTCAGTTTAAAAAAAAAAATCCATCTTAACAGTACCATGATTTATCACCAAAACTAAACAAGCCAATAATGAAAGCTTACGAAGAAGCACTTTTCAACTAAAAAGAAATCTTGTTTAGAAAAGATATTCAGCCACCTTTGGACAGTCCAAGGTGTTTAAATCCACCTCGGTGTCTCTGGCTGACAGCTGAGCAAATGGTGGGGACCAGCTGCTTTGTGGGAGATGAGACTTTGTGATCATTGTGGTTCTTCTGAGAGACCTGCCTGGGAGAACTTTATGGTGTCCTTCCATTACTGCTAATGTTTACTTTGAGATTAGTTTAATAAAAAAAAAAAAAAAAAAGAGAGAGAGACCAACTTGGCTTCTTGCCAGGCATGAGAAAGGGGAAACACGTTGATTTCAGCCCTTAAGGCAGGCGAGCCCAAAAAGGGGCATCTCACATCTGAGCCCTGTAGGTGCTGCAGAGCTGCTCTGCCCACGTAGGACCAGCACGAGGGGTTCCAGGTCACTTAGGTTTGGACGTGTGGCAAACAAACATGCAACAAAAGGATGATGGTTTTGGGGGCCACAGCCAGAAGATGCGGGAAGTGGCCCAGGCAGCTGCCTGCTCATCTGCTGCTATACTGAGCAGTTATGGAAAGGTTGGGGGGCGGTTAAGCTCTTAATTAAGCACAGAGCCGTTGGTACGCGCGTAGGAGGGAGTGCTGGGAACAGGCTTTTTCCACGTGATCGCAGATTTGTAAGGATTCTCTTATTCAGTGTCTGGATTTTGCTAGAAACGTAGTTAGCGTTAGCAGCCGCCCTAGTCAGTGGCGTGGTCTCGCTTACACCACCATAGTGCTATGCGCGGATCCCCGCGGTGCCCAGCGCTGCGCGGACAGCCAGCAGACACGGCCCCCAGGGAGAAAGAGGAATCAAAAGCTCAGGGAGGAGTTTGCTTGCGAAAAAGTTTGCAGCGACCCGAGCTTTCATGGCCGTCTGGCGCTCGTGCCGCAGCCGCTAGCCCCCGTTGCCTCTCCGAGTCTGCAGGCTTTCACCCTGTTCGCCTGTCTCGCTGGTCTCGTGCCTGCTGCTTCCTCCCTTGAAGGCCCTAGAGCCCTTCCTTAAAATAGCCCTCTGATTGTCCCTGCTAGGGCCGCTTGAACGCAGCCAGCCCGCTTGCCGCGGGGGCCTAGCAAACATGCGTGTTTGAGCACAGAAACGCTGCGTTTATTGGGGAGCAACGGCCCCGGGACCACGCGCTCGCCCGGCCGGAGTCACCGCGCTGGTCTGAAAACAGAAACCGATGCAACTCGCAGTCTTTACGGGACGTGCTTCACGGCCTGCTAGATCTCCTGCCAAGTTTGCTGCCTTACGCAGATCAGCGTTCCTAGCGCGTCGGTCGGTCGTTTACTTTCAGAGCTGCTATTTAGCTTGTTTTTCAGCTGGCCACTGAAAATAATAACACCAGCACAATTACTTCCAAGAGAGAGGCTGGGTGTTATCTTCTGTCCGTGACTTCTGACTTCCAGTATAAAATTTAGACAAAAGAATTGAAGGTATGTGATGAAAAAGCAGGGGGGAAAAAACCTCATTTACGGCCAAAGTTGCATGTTTTCAGAAGCTCCAGGCATTGCACAGAGTAAAATAACCCCCTGCCCTGACTTCCTGAACACAACCGATGTGACAGCTCCTGTGGCAGGAGCTGGCTGGTTTTTTTTTTCTTTTTTTTTTTTTTTTTTTTTTTTGGCTTGGTATTGTATTGCTAAACTAAAGCAGACTCGCTACTTTTCACTTCTAGCTTTATGAGGCTTTCTCCCATCCCGAGACTGGGAAACAACCTCCATGGTTGTGTGCTACGAGATCTCGCTCTCATCAGCAGGCAACGTTTCAGTCTGTTACCCCTTGCAGCAAAACATCTCAAATTGCAGTATTACCCCCAATTCTCTCAAGATTACAGCTTTCCAGCTTGGGCTGAGAAAAAGCGCTCCTGCTCTTACAGGAGGAGGAATTTCACAGAATCAAAAGAAGCTGAGGCCGGCAGGCAGGACCCCCTCTGGTCACTGGATGGATCTCTAGAAAAGCTTAAAAAAAATCCCAAACCCATGACTTTTCTTTTCTGATCCGTTTAACTGACATGGAATAAAACAATTAGCTACTTGACAAGCATCCTAAATCAGATTGTCATATGTCTCAAACAGCTGCTGCTAACACAATCAAGTGTTTTGAGTCATTCTCGAAACCTTTAATCTAAGAGAGTCGGATGTCCTCAACGCTGGCATCTACTGAGTTGCAGCCTCAAAGACCCTCTAATTTATTTCCTTGTTACGTCTTTCATGTGCCGGTGACGTTTGCTTCCTTGTTTCTGTATTACTCTTAGTTAAATGTGGCAGAGAAGGCTTTCTGGACACCAAACAAGGAAACATGGGTTAAATAGTTGGTAAAGCCCTAGCGGGGAACCTCTATGAAAGGGAGAAAACAACTCAGCCGCTGACAATGTGTTGTTTTTTTCTCCTCCCCCCTTAGGTATTGCTTTAAGCCAGATGACCACTACCCAGGTCCCTATCGCCTCAACACCAGCGCCTCCCAGTGCAACGGCCACCCAGGTCCCTCTTGCCTCGACACCAGGGTCCCCTAGTGCAACCACTGTCTCAGCCTCTGCGCCCCCAGTTTCTGCTGCGACGCGCTCGGCTGGAGCGGCGTCCGCCACGCCAACCCTTGCCACGTCTGCGGGAGCGCTGTCTGCTGACCCGAGCACGGGAGCGCCAACTCCAGTTCTGTCCACCTCCCTGGACGTGACAGCACTCGTTTCTGGAAGCGCGACCAGCTCTCGTGTGCCCACAGCAGCACTCACTGGTGCCCCGTCCTTCTCTCCGGCTGCGACTGCGTCTCCCGGCGTCCCATCAGCAGCTCCGTTCCTCGCCACCTCGGAGCCCTCGGGCTGCAGCAGGGTGAACGTGACAGCGTGCGAGCCTTGTTCCCCGGGGACGTTTCCCAACGATGGTAGGAGTCTGTGCTCACCCCAGCTCCTTGTGTTAGATGGAGAAGTGGAAAGTAAAGGGAGGCAGAAAGGGTGCGTGTCCTTGTCTTGGAGGGTTGCACAGGGAGAATTGTTACAGCTTTCTGAAGTGAAAGACTCTGACTTTGCTGGGCTTGTTATTGATTGGTCTTCCTGAAGTTTCCTCAGTAGGATGTAGAAGCGGTAGGACCGTGACCACGAAACGTAATGGAAGTACAACTTGATTTGTTGGCAGGAAGGAGGACGTTGTTTTGATGTGCAGTATGAAATGCAAGAAAAATTTCCAAGTATTTGTCTTAAACGGTTGAAAGAGACTCTCTGCTGTAGAAACAGCCTTTTCACTTGGGCTCGAGAAAGCACTCATTTGGTACCAATTACCACTCTGTTGTGGTCAGGAGTGCATGGCATTATGTTTCTCAGAGGTTATTGTGAGATGGTTTTAGACCATAAAATAAAAGCAATGCTTTTTGCACTTACTTCCTCCCATGCAGGGCACTTTTAAAGAGAGGAATAACCAGATCTGATGCTTTAGGGCACCTCTGCAGAAGGCAGGAGGTAATTCCCACCGCCCTCATGTGCTGGGCGCTTATCGCAGGATCTCCTCCTCTTGCTCACGCACCATTGCTGCAGTACCAGGGGCTGGTTCCTGCAAGAAGTGGGGTGGTAAGCTTGTTTTGTGGAGCAAAGACCGCTAGAGCTTGTGTCCGGTGGGAATACTGTGTTACCTGTGCTCAAAGAGAGGCTGTTTCTGGATAAGGCAGATTCTCTGCTCTGGTATTTTCTGTTTTAGTTCTGCTTTTCATAAGCCTAAATTAATCAGAAATTAAAAGAAGTCTATGCTTTTGGGAGGAGGACAAGGAGAAACTCTTCTGTTCCCTCAGATGAAAAGAAGAAAAAGAAGCCTTGGTAATCACCAAGAAATCCATGTTGATGAACTTGAGACCTTAGATTGCTTTATGGTTGTTCTTCAGCTTCCTAATGATGCACTACAGCATCATTAGTGTTAATGTTGTGGTTTTCCAGCCCTAAGATTGGATCCAGCTGTTCCAGCAAGACAAATGCTTTTGTGTTCTTCACAGTGACTGGTACTTATGAGCAGAAGGGTTGCATTAGAGGGTTAAGTGAAGTATTGCAGTCCTGATCTCGACCTTTTTGTTCCAATTTAGGCACCCTGAGCTGCTCGTGCTGTTCGCAGGGCTCCTGCACGGGCCCCGCTGACTGCGTTCCCTGCCCGGTGGGTCACTACCAGCCCCTGAGCGGACAGCAGTCGTGTCTGCCGTGTCCACAGGGGTATTACACCAGGTGAGTGACTGAGCCTCTGCTGGGGTGGCCGATGCGGTTGGAAGCAGGAACTGCGCACAGCCTCCCTCGAAACGTTTCCCTGCAAAATCTCCTCCCTTGGGCTGTGGGAAAAGTGCTGCCATGGCTATTTCTCAGTGGAAAGTACAAACGTTTCTCTTCCCTGAAAGAAAGAGAAGCCCACGCCTTGCTGGTCCGACTTCCTTCTGCCGTGGCGGCCTCGTGCTGTAAAACGCTTGGTGGCAGGCAGAGAGGGGCCATGCGTTCCCCAGCAGGTAAACTGGATCAGGTTGTTCATTCACTCCAAATAAAAACAGCTAAACCCCAGCTAAACTAGTCCAAACAACCCTACTCTGGAGTAAGCTCTAGATTGCCTCTTGTTTGGACTTCAGACTAGATCCCTGGTGGGACTGGCAGAGGTATGAAGAGGTGCACCCTTTCAGTGTTGACAAATGTTCCTCACTAGGAACCCCCAGCACGAATACGTGTTGCATCCCAATGGCTGTCTCTTGGCTGGCCGCACATCTTTTTGCAGTCTTTCATATGTGTAAGGGGAAAACAAGTTTTTTTGTGACGGAGGGATAATGTCTGGGAATGAGGCATGGGGTTTAGCTTTTCAGCTTTCACCTGTGACTTTCCTCCTGTGAGCAACCAGCTTCCTCTCCGTGCTTCGCAAATTGATTTTCTTACCTCCTATTTTACTGTAAGGCTCTTGTTATGTTCTAGTCACAGCTAACTGCAACACACTTGGTTGTTTTATTTCTTAGCTTTTTTGTACTGTATCAACTGTATCAATGCCAGAAGCCCGGCATTGCAATTTAATCAGGCTTCCTGGTTAACCAGGACCCTGTTTGAGCAGGGAAGGTTGGACTAGATGATCTCCAGAGGTCCCTTCCAACCTCAACTGTTCTGTTATTCCTAGTTTTCTGGCCCCACGGGTTTTTGCACAGCCCACCCAGATGCACCTCCAGTCCTGCAGGCTCCTCAGCTTTTGCCCAGCGTAACCTGAGCGTTTGCCCCATGCCGTGATGGAAAGCAGGTGTTGTGTCTGGCAAAAGTCCACAGAGATTCGTGGTGCCTTGGGCTCTGGATGTCCTGCTGAAGGCATTTCTGCCTTTGCTGGGGCAGCCCTTGTCCCCTGCTCACCAGGGCTCAGCAGCTGCTAATGCTCAAGGAGATGCTGCTTTTCCTAGCATATGAAGCCCCAAGAGCCCTCCCCAAGGGCTAACATCTGCATGGTGCTGGTCGAGGCAGACTCATGCAGTTGACTTTCGCTGAGGTGGCAAACCTGGGTGCTGGCGCCGAGGATGCTCGGAGGCTCCTTTCTTGCTATACAAGTGTCCTATAGCTCCGGAGATGCCTGCGCTTACTGCGCACGTGATTTTTCCTCATGTTTTTCCCTTGATTAACCTGATATCTGCTGCATCTGTTGGGGTTACCTTATTTCTCTCCACATCTCCAAGTGCTTTAAAGATATGGATCAATCCCCAGTGAGCAGCTCTGCTGCGACGTGGGAGAGGGCACAGCCGAGCCGAGGGCTGGGTGGCTGCTGCTGCCGAGGAGGAAGGAAGGGGAAGCAGTGGCTGGATTTACGTGCGCCGGAGGAGGGGTGGGGGAGGCAAGAAGGAAGGTTGAGGTGGGAAGGGAAGGGAGTGGGGTTATCTTGCGGGGCACAGCATGTGCGTGGCCATCACCATGGCAGCTGGCCACGCTGTGCAGGGCTCTAATTGGGTCGTTGAACGTTTCTGCGGCGTTTGGAGAATGCAACGTCCCCTGAGCTTTGAGCAGCTCCGGCTCATGCCAGCCCTGCATTGGTTTGCTTTAAGCAAAGCGTTTGCTATGTTTCCAATTGACTTTCCAGAAATCTCACTCAGCCTTGGGGTTTCCAAAGGAATTAAAGAGCACGTCCGTGTTTTCCACCAAAGCATCCCGTGGTACGTTAACAGATTCGTACACACGTACTCCTTGTTGGTGGGGATCTGGCTCTATAGGTGACGAATGCGATAGCTTTCCTCCTCCTCTGCCTTCCCTGTTTTTCTCCCATCCTCCCCAAGGTCTAGCACATTGCATCCCCTTTCGCACAGTCCCTAATATTTCGGGTCAGGACTCTCACGCATCAGTGCCGATGGGTTTGGCTCCTTTTTTTTGACCATTAAGTGACCTGACTTTCAACAAGGGAGCAGCTCCTTTTAAAACTGACAACAGGTGCTGAACATCAAGCACCTTTCCAACGTGTGGGTTTAAGAGCCTGACTTGAAACCAAAATTTTAAAACTTTGTTACAATGAGTTTTTCATAGCCAGAACTTCAGTGTCAGAAACCTGTAACTTTCCGCAGAGCCCATATTGCGTACAGGACGTCGCTGGCATTAACAACACAGAAAACTTCATTTTTTCACTGGACCTTTAACATTCAGGCAAGTTCCAGCTGTTGTTCTTCTGCCTGAACTCCTTCATTGTAATTACTCTATTTCTAGACTTAGTGAAACAAAGAGCTATGTTCTGCTGTCTCCTCTGAAGCGGCTAAACAGAATAGAAGCTGCAATGACCTAAAATAGCGCTAACCCTCTTTTCAATTCTCTTCCCAGTTTTCGGAGGAGCACCACATGCTCTCCCTGCCCACCTGGCTCTTACGCTAACGAGTCTGGGGCTGCAGCCTGCAGAGCCTGCCAGAGAGGTAGGTTTGGATTTGTATTCAATCCAAACACGTTTTCATCAGAATACACGATGCTTTTGCCATAGCTAGATGCAATTACCAGGTAACTTAAAAGCGCTGAAGAGTAAACAGGTTATTTTGTTTGGGCCAAAAATAGCGTAGTAGATCCCTTCCCATTCCGTTATTGACGTTTTTATTAAAAAGGAGAGAACTGATCTCACACCGAGTCGTGTTCCCCCTTGCAATAAGCTAATACTAATGGTACAATCGAAGTCCATTGCAGAAAGTCAGGAAAGAAATGTTCCAAGGTTCAGTTGTAGCATAAAGCGGGGGGTGGGGGGAGAGGAGAGTAGCGTTTCCCATGTTTTCAATGATAAAAAGTTAGTTAACACATCTTGTTTTGGTTAGTCTATCTTCCACAGTCTGAGGATTGAGCATAACGTTCTCCTTCCTCCCCAGCCATTAAAGGCCGGGGGTTTTCGGCTCGGCGAGCCGTCTTGTGCACCTCCTTACAGGCGGTATGAGCCTCGTACGCTGCGTTCCCAGACGGTGTAACAACACGCTCAAAACAGACCAGCGTTTACTTATGCAAAAGCCTAATTAGCACATGCCACACGGCAGCTCTTCTGTACACAAATTAAGCGCTGCTTGCACAGGCACAACTGTTCTTTTGAAAATCCTCCCACCCAACGGGTTGGCTGATAGCTAAATCTTTGTCTGTCGTTGGCTAAGTCTGGGAGGAAAAAGCGTTCAGACAGCAGTCGGAGACTCTCCTGGGTGGCAGTGATGCAGCGTGCCACTTCCTCCGCTCCGCGGATTCAGACGCTGCCCGTTGGACCGCAGAGGAGCCACGAGGGGGGCTCGTTAATCATGCCTTCATAAATTAATGAGTTGCTTTCTGCTGGCAGGGTGAGGGAGGTTGCTCTATTTTCTTCCTGCTCAGCGGTGGGGCATGGCGCTCGTTCCAAATTTGGGCCAGTGTCAAGGGTGCCTGGCAAATCTTGTTGCCCACCCCACTTCCAGCTCCTCTCCGAATGCAGACGCCCTAATCCTGTCCCCTCCCCATGGTGCCGTGATGAATTGGGCACCCTCCCAAAGCCGCGTGCCCACCTGCCCTCCAGGGTGGTGGTGTGCAGCGTTTAGCGGTTCCCAGTCCTGTGCAGGGACGCGTGAGCCTGGTCTGTCCCGGCCCCGTGGCCGGCTGTGATGATGTCTCGATGTGCTTTGGGGAAGGGTCTGCGCGTGCCCATGGGCTCTGCGCGCTCCTGCCCTTCGTGGTCCTGGCGACGCAGCGAGGGGTAAGAAGGCAAAGAGCAGGTTGCTGCAGCGAGCAGAGCTGCTCCCGTTTACGAGCCTTGCGCCCTTCCCCCTGGGGGACAAGGGTGCCCCCAGACTTCTCGATGGGGGGAAAAGGGTGCTCGGGTCCTGCCAGGGCTGGGGTGACCGAGGGGTCTCCCCTGGCTGGAGCAGAAATGGCAGCCACAGCTGAGTTAAGCCAGGAGGTAGCACAGGGATCACAGATTTGAGCCTAATTCCAGTTTACTCTGTGGAGAGGAGCCTCCATCCTTGGTTTACAGCTCTCCTGAACTACCGGTTCCTTTTCTTGCTATGTAGAAAACATCCCGCATGTAGCTTTTATCGGGGTGGAAGGGAACTGCGCGCTCACGACAGCGGCAGGTACCTCATTGTCCTCCTCTTTCTCCCAACAACTTCCACCCCAGTCCCTGTGTCTTCGCTAAGTAAATACAAAATTAAAAACCACCCACTCTCCCCATAGGGTCTGCACGTGGCCTTCCGTGCTGGGAGAGCTGACGGTCGGCCTCCCTGGCGGCGTTCAGGGAGTGAGCAGGAGCACCAGGGGTTGCTGCCGGAGCCCTCTGCCCTTCCCATCAGCATGGCAGAGGTCCCTGGGACACTCTTATTGCTCCTTCAGGGCCTTCGGCGAACGGGAAAAAACAAACGTCCCGAATGGGCCCCTGAAACGCCACCCTAAATCTGAGTGTTGATTTGGTTGCTTGTAAAACGGCAATCAGCAAATAACTAATAGTGTGGAGGGAAGATCCTGAAAACTTACTCTTCTTTTTCTCAGGGTATTTCAGCGCCCAGCAAAATGCAGCTTTCTGCCTGCCTTGCCTGCCTGGATCATTTTGCAAGTAAGAAATCCACATGGGACCTCAGAGGTCTGTGGGCTGGAGAGGGATATTTTCCTCCTGGTAGCAGTCACTGAGCTGAAAAGATCCGTTTTACTGGCAAAAGGAAGGTTACTGCGACTTTCCAGCTGAATAGCTATCACTGCCGAGCCCTGGGGAGAGGGGGTCGGGCAGTGGGGGAGAAGATCCCGACACATACAGCGTTGCATGAACGAAGAGTGACTTTTAGGCTCGTTAGCCTGTGTGTGTTTTGGGATCAGTCGCACCACCGACCCCTGTACCTGTGCCGGAGGCTGGTTGGGTACGGAGGCAGCCCAGGTGCTATGCAGCAGTTGCAGCTCAGAGCCAGCCTCAGAAACCTTCCCGTGCCCACGCTGCTACATGGCACAGCGGTTGCCCTAAACAGGCTAACACTGGATACGGGTATGGCTGGGAGTCACTCTGGGTCTTCTAGTTTTGGGTTTAGCTGATAGTTTGTTTATCAACAGGATAAACAGATGTGTCAGGGTGTGCAGAAAGCAGTAGCTAAACTCTCCTGGCTGCAGTCATCTTCGTGATGGAGGAGAAGGTGCCTCCCAGCCAGTGGGGGTACCTAGAGGTGAGTCTGCACCCTGCTATGGTAAGGCTGCCTGTGCTAAGGGTGCAGATTTTAAATTCAAAGTAGATTAGCTAACTCATGAATATTTATCCTCCTTCTGACCTTACCTGGAGCTTGCCTGTGCCACAATGGATCTCTGCTGAATTTTTTGAACCACGGTGAAACTGCTACAAAGCCATACTCCAGGGCTTATGCAACTGCGTTGTGTGTCCATCTCTCCTAACTAACTTTAGCATCCGTTGACCAGTTCCAGTCAAGTTTGCTAAGGGATAGGAACTTCAGAGATACCATGCAACTAAAGGGAGGACAGAAATGCCATCATGTGCTCAACCCTGATAGTTATGGGAGAAAGCACACTGGAGAGAGACCTCATGGATGACCACAAAATGGCAGAGGCTTATCTCCTGGTAGACACCAGAGAACTGAGCCTCAGCGTATGCATAAATAAATAAATAAGTGTATATATAAATAAGTGGGCTTTGGTAGGTTGGGTTCGTCTCAGAGCTCCTTGCCATACTGCTTTGTCTCTCCTCTCTCCCCAGCACCACCAGCTGCACCGTGTGTCTGGCTTGCCCTGGTGGGAAGGAGGCTCTTCGCGAGGCATCCGAGGAGTGCACACCTTGCCTCCCAGGTAACGAATGTAGGGTGGGGGACCACGATAGCCTAGCTGAGCACACACCACTTCAACACCAGAGCCTGCAGAAGGGCTGATTTACGTCCGAGGCTCCTCAGACGTGAACGCCCCACTGACATCTGCAGAGCAAACCGTTGCCATCATAGTGATGGCAAAGCACTGGCAGTTTTTGGTCCCTCCTAGCTCTCCAGGGCCTGCTGCTGGAGTCACTGTCAGCTGAGGGCCTGTTTGCCTGCGGCTGCAGGGTTTGTTGCCGTGGACTCAAAATGCTTCTGAGGCCACAGCTGCGCTAGGTCTTCCTGCCAGCGTGGTTAACTTCCTCTGAGGAACGCCCTTTGTCTGTGGGACAGGGCTGTCGGGAGCCCAGGGTAGATACCGCTCTAGGAACTGTGTTTTTGCCAGTGGTGTTTGCTTTGCTGATGAAACCAGATGTGTTAGCGCTGCAGGAGTGCTTGCAGAGGTGGGGGACTGGCGTGTGCTCTGCACGGCCACGGCTCCTGGGCAAGGCATAGTCTGAGGCTGGGAAACAGCTGGGGTGAAGGGGGGACTTGGTGAGGGGAAAATGAGGAACTGACTTGTTTCTTTGCTGTCTTAAATAACATCACCCTGCACACGGTGAGGCAGTGAGACGGCAGCATGATCCAGCCACCCACACAACTGCTGATGTGGAGCCTCCCCTCTAGAAAGAGTTTTTGTAGTCAAGTTGTCTTTTAAACATGCAGAAAAGCATTAATCACCCTGAGACCCACAGCTTTAGTGACCCATCTTCCTTACAAAGAGGTGAGAACTAAGCTGGGCTTTAAACTTCACTCAGCACGTTTCAAACAGCTCGAAAGCGTTTGAATCCAGAATTAGAGAGGATGAAATATTTTGTTGACCTCCATCTCCAACCTTCCCTCTGTTTTAGAACCACAGCTCAGTACTAAACCCACCTCCCAGTACTGAACGTACCTACTGACTACCCACCTACGCCAACTTGCTCTATTCACCAGATCTGAAACCACACAGTAGTATTTCTTCCCTTGCACTTTCCTGCCCCTTTGCCTCTGAGCAAGGACCAAATTCCACGTTCAGGTTTTGTGATGCACGTGAAGTATTTGATGGTCTTTCTCCACGTGACTTTAAAAGACAGATGGTCCATATGCAATTGCAAAGGCCCCAGGGTCTAGCCCCACATTGTAATGTTGTGCTTATTTGCTGTTTAGGTATGTTCAAAGGTCCCAGCGACAACAGATGCAAGCTCTGCAAGGCGGGAGAATACCAATTACAGCAAGGCAAGGAAAGCTGTGACCTATGCCCAGAAAATCACTACTGTCCTGTGAGTCTCCATTAGCTGATTTGACAGCCTGGATTAAAAAATATAGCTGTCCTGTAACAAGTTAAATATACTTTAATTAACACCATTTTCATCTAAACCTGTTTTCTTTTCTTAACTACATAGAGGGGATGGTTAAAATTGTGATAGCAGGAGTTGGGCTTTGTTCTGCACATCAAGCTTCGCAGTGAGCCGTCAGGGGAAGGTTAGATGATGGTTTATCCATTAGCTAGGCTATTTGGTGCATGGACATGCTGTATATGGAGCCCTGCTGCTATTCTTACTCTGAATAACACCACAGGTGAAGACAGGCTGACCATTTCTTGGTTATTTTTCTTCTCTTTTTCAATGCTGAAGTGTTACCTCCCGGCAATACCAGTGATGCTGTCCGCAAAGGTGCTCACACACCTCTCTCGTGCCCGCAGCCCTCTCCCAAGGTGGTACTGGCACTGTTTGAAGGCTAATCCCTGCTCCAATGGGGGAAGGTAGTCATGGAGCCCAGCTACACATCTAAAACCCTTGGTCTCAGCACAGCCCTCAGCTCTGCATGCAGCAACCCTGGCTCCACTCGTTTGCTGGAGCGAGGGATAACGTCGCCCAGCTCTAGTCCCCAGCCAGGTTACAGGCAGATCCACCTCGGCTCAGGAGGGTGAGGGGGGGAAAAAGAAAAGTAGCAGTAGCACCAGCACCTAAAAGTGCTGATACTGTAAGGTTGCTGTTTGCCAGACTGCTGTGGTAGCAGCCCATCTCTAGTCCTGCCTCTGCCCTGTCTCGGTTCTCCAAGACCTTCATGTGGGAAGTCACTCCTAAGATCTCCCTTCTGAGACAGCAAGGCAGAGGGTACTTCATAAAGCAGTCTTTCCCAGCATGTATCTGCCCTGCCCCCAGCTCAAAGAGGCTTTTATCAGACTATGCTTACTGCAGAGCCAGTGCTTGATTTATTGCAGTCTTCACTGTCCAAGTAACTCTCTTTTTCTTTTGGGTAGAGCCCGGATGTGAACCCAGTCAAGTGCCCTGCTGACGCCTTCTGCCCCGCTGGCAGTGCCGAGCCTGAGTATTGCATGGAGGTGTTTTTTTACAAGGCAGGAGACTCATGCCAGCTGGCCCCTCTGATCATCCTCCTGGCTGTTTTTGCAGCAGGTGAGTGTCCGTCTTTGCTGTGCTCTGGTAAAACCAGCCACCCCTCTGAAATCTGCATTTCTAATGATGGATTCTTTGAATATTTGATCTATTATGACGTCATTGCTTCTCTCCTGAAAATGGCTGGAGATCTCTAATTCATCTCAGTTGCCCTGTCTTGGTTAAGTTTTCCCATATTCTTACCTTACTGCCCAAAAGCACAGTGAAGTATGGTGTCACAAATATAAAGACAATGTTGGAGTCAGACCTTAATAACATGGTTAACTGGTCAAATTTGGTTTAAAAGAACGTGTGGGACATGTCTGTAAATGCTGTAAAGAAATATACGACCTGTGAGATGAATTAGCCTGCAGACTCAGGCCTATCGAGGAATTGGATCTAACAGTTCAAAAGCGGCTCAAACAGAGACACTACAGTTAGGCATGATGCATCAGCTAGGTCTGTGGCTGCTGTGAAGGCCTAGCTATAAGAATACTGGAGTACAAGTGCGTTAAAATGTGACATGCTGTTACTTTGCTGCAGTGAACTTAGGAATCGTGGCACCCCAGCAAGTTTTGGTTAAACCTATATCTCAAGATGTCAACCTCAGCTCGGTCTAGAGTGTATTGGGTTGCCCCAAAGGTATATGTGCAGTATCTTGCCTGCCCCAAAGTAGGAAAACAGACAACTTCCTATCACTGATGAGGCTTCAAAGGGAAGGCCAAAGGAAATGTGCTACAGAAACATCTTGAGATGTTCCAGATTACTTGCGATATTCCAAATACTTATTTAAAGATGAGGCAGCTGGGGGGTACAGGCTATCAGGTCTCTTCCTGCCCTATGTGTTACATGCAGCTCATGCAGCACCTGCAACAAATGTTTGGGCAGCTGCTGGTGTCCCCTGTGAGAAGGAGATGCAAAGACAACAGGTTCTCTGTGCCTCGTTATTGCTCTTTCTCGTACCTGACTCTTCCTGGATGGAGCAAACACCCTCATTGCTAGAGGGAGGATTAGCTCATGGCAAACTCTCACAGCAGAGCCTCTTGGAGTGGGTGTTGTCAGCCTGTGTGGTGCTGGTTGTGTTGAGGCAATGGTGCACCCTGTAACCAACAGCTTTCTCGCACAGAATGAAAGACATCTGCACAGACTCACCAGGTGGGGCACCCCCAATCCAAGATGATACTTGCTATAAAATTGGTTCATTAGTGAAAAGGCTAGAAGCCAACAGGCAGATGAGCTTCTCTACAAGGAGATTCCGTGGTGAATACCGATTCCAAAACAATGAATATGCAGCATTTGGAGTTTCAGTAGAGGGGGGGGAAAAAGATTTCTGTAGTTTTTAAACAAAGTCTGGGAGTAGGTTCGACCAAAGCTAACAATTATGATGCACACCAGCAACTTTTACTGCTATGGGTGGTGAAAAGGGCAGAAGTGCAAGCTGGGAAGAAAGATATTTAAACCAGGACAGATCTCCTATGCACAGGTACCAAAGTGGTATTACTGGGGGATTTGTTTGTTAGCAGCTCTCCTGACACCAGGCTTCCATCTCCTCCAGATAGTCTAAGGGATTAAGGACAGATATCCATGAGCTTGTGCTCAACAGTTCTGCACCTCTTTTCCCTCTGCCTCCTGAACAGTGGCTGTCTGTGCCAGGCTCAATGTTGTCAAAAGGCAAAGGGAAGATAAGAGAGGCAAACCTGTTATTCCCTGCAATTAAGAGGAACGAGGGCAAAGCTGCTTCTCCGGTAACGAATCAGCATTAGCTGCTGTCATCAAAATCCTCTCTTGACATTGACGACTATATGGATACATAAGAGGAGAAAGGACAGTAGGGAGTCTGGAGGAGCTACAGCTTTAGCAACCCTGATCAACTGCTCTTCCTCAGACAACTGAAGTGTTGTCAGGGTAAGAGCTTCCAAGGGTTATTCTCACAAGACATGACTAGAACCATGTGAAAGTTTATCCGCTTTTGCAAAGCTATATTCCAAAAATCTGCCAAGACAGGTATCAGAAAAAGTGGATTAAAATGAGCTGTACGAAAAGCCTACGTAACCAGCATTTCCGATAGCCAAGTCTGAGCGTCAGAAAACAACGTTCCTTAGCTAAGTCCTGCATATCAAAGTTTGCTAAGAAGAGGAGTAAAAGAAACAGCCCATGCTTACGAGAACCAGCGAGTAAGTATTTTGTAAGAGTTCAGAGATCAAATTCACGGCTGATATAACAGATCAATTGTTTACCATGAGATTGTCTGCTCTCGCAATCTAAATCTGGACATATTTGTCTGGACATATTGCATTACAATGACAGATTTGTGCTATTCCGTTAAGATCAATTTTCTCTGATTATGCTTATGCCAGAAAAATAGCAACACAAAAAGTCACAGTACTTGATATTTGTCAATTATTTCCATGCCTATGCCCCACCTAAAAGTAATTTTTTCTGACAGTCCTCATCTCAGTCTAGACTCAAAGTTAATCTAGGTCAGTTACTTCATTATAAGGCTTCATTATAAGGCACTGTGCAGAGCAAACTAATTTCTCAGTAAGATCCTTCAGTAGAATAGCACAAATGCGAGTCGTCTGCAATTGATGAAGATGTCTGACAGAAAATAATAGTTCGACAGAGCAAAGAATAAACAGGGAGGGAAGTAACAGAGCACAAAGGCAAGTAACTGAATTATTTCATTAAAACCTGCTCTTCTCAACAGCTTTCAGAGTAAAGCTGAAATGCCAAAGTTGAGTAGTATTAAAGCTATCCAAAACTTTTCTGTGCACAATATATAGGAAAATAAAACTTCATTTTACCGAAAGAAAATTGGTAAATCTTCAATCAAGAAGTCCTAGAGCAAACACCACCTGCTATTTTACCTTCCCACCTGAAGGTAATTATCCTTCCTTACGTTCCAGGTGGACTCCTTGTTGTCTTGCTGATAATTCTGAAGAGAAGGCAAGAACGTAGGAAGAAATCTTTGAAGTCCCTACTCTTACCAAAAGGATCAGGACAACACACAACGTATGGTGTAACGGAGCACACAGAACCAGTATACGCTGGTTGGTAGGAGGCTGCGAAACGTTATCAACAAACTTTGTTTGCTTTTCTGTATGGCAATGCAGATGTGTGTATATGGGCAAAATGTTAACCACGATCAACCTATTTCTATGTAGCTAAAATATTTAATTATACTAACCACAGGCACACAGAAGTGCAAAGAAATCATTTATCTGCTAACCCAGAAGACTTCTGCTCTAAAATAGACTGAATAACAAAATTCTCTCTCCCTTCGATTCCTGACTTCACTTGCAAATGCGTATTTATTCCTGAGGAAGAGAGAAAACTATTATGTCAAACAGTCTTTTCCACCTTGGCAAACACTAACATGAACCTGCTTCCTTTTAAAAATGTGCAGATTCTTTTTTCATTAGCCTCAAAATTTCACTGTTACCTTAAGCAAGAGTAAATCGAGGAAATTTCTCCTTCCTCTCAGCTGTGGGAAAATACGTGCACATAAAATAATGGTTAACTCTTGGACAAATATGTCCTTTTTTTCTGCTGCAATCTTTAAAGCAATGCCTTATATTATTAGTAGAGAAGCAACTACGAACTGTAGGCAAACATCACCTGTTTTGGTCCCTGCCAAGCCCCACGGATAAGCCATGAGCCTGCACACAACCCTTTAGAGCCACATGGAGCAGCATGCTGCTGCTGCCTAGGTGAGTCACTGAAGGTGCCTTGCACGCTTCTGCACACCCGGGAGATGGGTGCGTACTTGACACCATTGCTTAAATGCCTGTGACAAAGTTCCTGACTCCTTCCCAGACAACTGATTCATCATGAGCCAATGCCCCCTTACAGCAGTATACGTGGTTTGTACCTGTTCTCACAGCACAGAGCTGCAGCCGCTCCTAACTCCAAGCATGTTCCAATGTAGTCGGTCCAGACGACTGTGCCATCTGTTAAACTGTTCTGATTTGTGTTTTGTGGGCATGATTTCAAATCATGTAGGCTAGTTTACTCTCTCCTTTTTAAAGCTCTGCTTTGCTATATTCTCCCTATCCTGGTCTTTCTGACTGTTCGGTTTAGCTTTCTGCACCTTGTCTTCATCACCATTTGAGGTCTTGCCATCAGAGCAGGCACTTAGAAATACCTGTCAGCTGCAATGGCATCAACTTCAGCTGCTCCATGAAATTAGTACCTGGCCTCTATTAACTTTCTCATCTTGTTGCCTCCCTTCTTCTCCTAAAGTGACATTCATGGGCGTATGAGGTGCTGCAATCCTGGACAGACCAGGCAGTTGTGTTGCTTTGGTGCAGTGCTGTGCTTTGTGAAAGCACCCGTAAAAACAGTATTTACTAGTGCAAGCTCCATGCTCTTAAAGCACTCCCCTTACTGTGCAGTGAAGTGGAAGCAGGTGTTACTTCTCTCTTCAGTCGTCTTTTGGCGCTGCTGGGCCAGCAGCTGGGGTAGTGCAGCCAGTGCCAGGGGTTAAGTGGCTCCTGCCCTGGGCTGATCCTGCTCACCTCCTCGTGCCTGTGGGAGCTGCCGGCTGAATGAGGGGCAGGAGGGGAGGTGCGTAATCCCTCATGGGCAACAGGAACATGGACAGTAGCTGTTTAACCTAGACCAGCAGCAGCCGCCTGCATAGCGCAGCTCACCGGACCCTGGCTGTAGCCCAGCCACCTCGTTATCCCTTCTCTCCGGGCTGCCCTGTCCTTGCCCTGCAAGTATCGCTCAAGCTTAGATTTGTCCGTCTGCTCCAAGCCCGGTTTCTTGCCGAATCCTGCTTCCCTCCTAGTGTCACACTTCCTTCCCTTCTCAACCTTATCTACCTGCTGGAAAGCTGATGGCTCTTGGGCTTTTCCCAGCTCTGGGAAGAAACCCGGCACTGGTGTGGGGTCTCCTCCGCCTGGGGGGGACAACAGGGTCTCCCTTCAGCACCTGCGACCGCCAGGAATGACCCCTGCAGCCCTCTTCCTCCGTTTAGCCCTGAGGGCTGCAGGCCATAGCATGCGTGGAGCAGGCAGAGCGTCCCAGAGCGCCTGTGGACGCTCCCACTGTCCATGCAGGCAGAGACTTGGCAAAAAACCCATAGCTTTTCACAAGAGCAGCACAAGGATCCAATCCTGAGACAGGGCACCAGATTCCCTCAACAGAGCAGTGAGTGTGGGGTTTTGTTTTCGTTTTAACATGAACAAAACAAGTTGTTTTTCCTAATGGTATCATAGCACTTTCCTGAAACATTCTTTAAAAAAACACAAAAACAAAAAAACCCCCAAAGAACCCCCAACCTTCCCCCAAAACCAGACAGAACATTTCACATCTGAAGTCAAACCAGACCCAGGCAAGAAACCGGCCAAAGAAGAAAAATAAAATAAAAGCAGCTGAATTGAACCCTGAACCAAAGAAGAGCAGTTACCAGTGACAGCTAAATGAAACCAAATGAACTGAACTGATGCAACTGCATGATTGCAACTCAAAATAGTTAAAGCTTGTGAAATTATGAGCAAGCGAAAACAGCCTTTTAACAGGAAACACTGGGCTGCAAAAGATATCAGCATTTAAGATGGCAATATAGTTATGTAAATAAAGCTGTGAAAACAAGCCAAGGTGCAATCATTATTCACCTGTACATAAGCCTGAATTTCCAGTGACTTTTAGAAAGCCCTGGAGCATAAGCTTTCACTATGAAAGAGCAACATCCAGCACCCTCACTACCAAAACAAAAACACACTTGCATGTAATGCATCATTTCATTGTGGGTTTTTTTTTTGTTTTTTTTTTGTTTTTGTTTTTTTTTTAAGATTACGGCAAGAATAACTATATAGGTCTGGTTTTCCAAATAAGAACTGGCAACTTCTGAAATAGCTAGGAATAAATTTTAATATTTAATAAAACACTGAAGTTTCTCAAGCAGATAGGCAGACATGGAATAATGTGACTCAATGACATGGAAAAAATCCCATTAATGTGTCTTTCAAGATATTTTGCTTTTCAAAGTAATTCAAATAAAAAAGCCCCTAAAAACTGACCGTGAATACAAAGTTACAGAACAAAACAGCCATTTAATTTGATTCTTCTTCCTTGATTGTATGAAAATACATCTAACAGATTCAACGGAAAATTACTTCCATGCTTTCTCATGTGCTAAAGCACCAAAACGTGTTGAATTTACCTGTTGTATACCAGTTTTGAAGCAGTCACTGGGAAAGGAAAGACATCTTTTCTACTTCAGCGGTCAATATACTAAGTACATAATTTAATGCCACATAATGATGTGTCTTATTTGGATTTTACAGAGGTGACTTTTTAGCATTCAACAACTTACTTACAGACTTTCCTGTTACAAAGTACTGAGTTGCATCATGAGAAAGCTTGCTTTTTCAAGGTTGTTTTCCCTCCTGTTTGAGCAATGGGAGAAGGGAAATACTGAAACAGCTTCTTTTTTTGTCCTTTTTTAAAAAAAAAAAAAAAAAAAAAGCTTCAGCATGTTTTCCCAGTGCTGCCAAGTAAGGTGTGGAAACCTTCAATAAAGGCTCCCCCCAAACCCCTTCCTGAACGAAGAACTAAAATTCTACCGGCTCCCTTCCGAGTGACCTAGCTGAGCTCATGAGATTGCACAGGCCGTCCGTGTTAAGGAAGAACATGGTCCGTAATTTTCTGAAGCATCAATCTCAGAAGTACGTGATCAGCAGAAGGAATGAATTCCCGATCAAGCCAAAAGCAAACCTCTCTTTGCAGGGTGCTGACGCCAGGCTTCACTGGCCCCAAGATTTCAGTAGTCAAAGGCTAGAGAAGAGGTAGAAGGAAGGGGAAAGTCACACAGCCACTCGCTAAGATCTGTGCGTGTAAACTTAACGTTATGCCAAGAGCGCTGCGAATGACTGTTTTGAACACTGAAATCTTTATTTGCCCACAGACGGATACAAAATGGGTGGCTGTACTCCCTCCTGCCGTACTAAATGTGCTTCAGCCCCCACCTCAAAAGCAGGCGGGGAGCTGTAGGCTCCATGATCGATCTTACAACTGACGGCGTTTCTGCAACGGTGCCAGTTAATAACTATTTGTGCTGGTGGCTTCTGGAAGTTGGTATCTGCCTGCCAGGGCCTGGGGCATAACTGTTCCAGGGTGCCAGAGCTGTTACAGCTACGTACCAACTGAAAATGTAACACGTTATAAAGGCAGTGGTAAAGGTAAGACTTCATAATAACTTATTTAAAGGTATTCTTAGAAACCCTTCCTTACATGGTATAGTACCCAAACAAATAATGGTCCCAATGACATCAAATTCCTTCATTTTGTTTAAAAGTGACTAGGAAAATGTTTCTGCTTCGCTACCTGATCTCACCTTCCTAATCTCTCAAAAAAAAAAAAAAAAAAAAAAAATCAATGTAAGAGAAACACATATAATACAATTTTTTGGCATTGATTTTAGGCACAGGCCTATAGTTCAGCCTCGGTATAAACAAACATCTGTAGCAGAGGGAAGATTTCCCTCAAATACAGTAACAAAATCGTCATTTTTTCCTCAAGTGCAAGGCTTGGCATACCAGTTTGTTTAAAAATACATATCTGTAACACTTTCCCCCTATTTTGGACTATTTTATGAAAATTAATTCTGCTTCCAAAAGTGTTTATAAGAAGTTGGTTAAAAGAACAAAGTAGTAGTTTGGTTACAAAATAGAAACCAAAGAATTTAGGGTATGGTAATGGTACATTTGAAACCTGTTTCAAGCAAAATTTTCTAATAAACCAGAAGTTTTTGTGTTGGGAACAAATGAGGATTTCAATAAACCCGAAATCTAAATCTGCAATCAAATCCTCAAGAAATATTTTGGAAAAAAACATACACTTTTATGACATAGCAAGGCTTCGTTCTCAAAAGGGCTACACAGAGTTTCTGCACTATTAAAGGCGAACTAAGCTAGAACATACACAAATTACTAAATGGACATGAAGGCGCACATTGTGCTTACATAGGCTAGATAACAACGGCACAAGTCAAAACTTACTTGTAACACTGCCTAATCACATACCAACGTCATGCACTGGGAAGAAAACAGGTAAAGACATTTTTCTTTACCATTTTTTCCTAGTTCTAGTATTACTTCCATTTAACTAAATCTTGTATATTTATCTCACTGCAAGCGTGAGAACCTAAGGGGAGCAAAGAATTCAGCATCAGAAATTTCAGCTTTGCTGAAACAAGACAGTGGCGATAAGATAGTCAAGAGCAGAGCTTGTAAAAAATAAAGAATGATTTCAAACAGTCTGCCAAGTCAAGTAGCCAGATTTATATAAACTGTGTAAAAAGGAAAACAGTCAGGCTGAATTTCACATTACAATTATTTCTCACATGCTTCTTCAAAAAAATCTTTTAATTAGTTGTTTTGGATTTATTTTTTGCACTTCAGTAGCTAGTCAAGTTTCACCTTCTGTTTCATTCGTGGGCTTTTTTGTTCACTGTTGTGCATTTTTTACATTATCACAATGTTGCAATGCTTGGATCTCAAGCATTCCAAAGAAATGTTTGCCTCGGAGTTTTACTTGACATTGAGAAGAAAAAAAAAAAAAAATCAAATATCTTTTCAAATAACAGGTTTTGTACGATTTATTTTTATTAAGACATAAAAATCCTAGAGTATCGGGCCTAGATTGCAAGACAACGTCCCTTTAATCCAGACTTGTACAGCTCTGCAAGATCAAGATCAAGTCAATTCTATTTTGCTGGAATGAAATACAGGAAAAAACAGTATAGAAAAAAAATCTCCTACAACGTAAGATTTCCCCTTTCTGGTACAGGGTATGCCTTTCCCACCATGCACTATATTTCTTGGTGGAAGGTTATAAAAACATTTGTTTAAGAATCACTGGAGAGCTATTTTATAAGAGCACAAACAAATTGTTATGTGTGTGGTTATAGAGAGATACGCACCTGGATTGTGAATGGCATTCAAGCGCTTGCTCAAAAACACGCAAGGCAAGCAAATCTCATTGGGACCACAGACCAAGCCATTTTTTACTTAAAAGAGAACTTGAGAGCTAATAACTTCTTTCAAGGATATACTATTTTAAACATCTGTTGGTTGACAAATACTATCTCAAAACCTATGTTTATGCCTACTGGTTTGATTTTAACCTACCTCCAATCTGAAAGAATACCGGAGGGAACCTTTTACATTCGCAACAATTCAAGTGTAACTGTAATGCTGAGTAGTAAGTTTGGTTTGTCCTGAAGTTTTCTGAACTATGCTTGCCACAGTTCATTATCAGTGCAGAAGCAGCAGAAGACTGCTGTGGTTGGCTCAGTGGATTTATAAAACAAAACAAAAACAAAATACCCTCCCCCCCGCCACGTAACCTTTACAGAATATATGTAAAATTGTGTCCTTCCCTGGTCATATTCACAACTTATCTACAAGATAGTGTTGGCAGTAGAAACTGCAGTCCATTACTATTTGCATTCAGCTCTCATCCATCTGTTCCTCTGCTTTCTCTTAGGCTTCAACTTGTTCAGTTTTTTGCGGGGTTTCTCAGGCTTCTGAGTTTCAACAGAATCCACCCCAAGAACATGTTCAGAGCAGCATAACTGTCCATTTAACATCGAATTTAGTACTGTCCCATCTTGGTGTTCCTTGCAGAAAGAATTTGGGCAGAAGTGGCAGAAAGAAACAGAAGGTTTGCCACAAACATCACAATGGTGCCAAGGACACTCCCACTTTCCTGTGATTAAAGACAAAGAACAAAAAAAAAAAAATTACCAGGAAGAAAAAAAGTCATGATCTTTCAAACAAGTGTTCAGTTTTAGCATCTGAACAATTAATACTGACTTTCCTGACAAAAGTGAGATGAGACAGCAACTACTGTGGGCTAATCTCAAAAATCAAAATGCTACATCATACTTGTAAAGCACAACTGACAGCATAAAGTAGCTGACTTGACATTGTTTCACTTAAATACAGCACTGAAGTCAAGCTAGTAGAAATTATTCAGGCTTTACTCCATAGCAATTTACAGAAGTTGGGGGCTAGTAGAATATTCAAGTATGCAGTGATCTGCTGCCTGTCATTACACCACTCACCTGTTTCAAGTTTTGCTCAAGGAGAGTTCATTTTCTTTATTCTACTGATGCTCTTTCCTGTCCCAGCGTATTTTCCTGGTCATCATTTAACTTGCCTCTGGGATAACAGGCTTTGCCTACTTCACTTCTTCACATCCCACCTGACATTGCTGCACATCCCACCTGACATTGCTGGCTGTGGAACCAGGTAGCTCCTGTAGTATCAGCAACTGCAGCCTGACTGTCTACTGCCCTGAAAATGTTCTTACTCACCTTATTCCAGATGCTGCTGCTATTCTTTTAGCAAAAGATCTTGAACTCAACTGGTGTCATGCATTTCTTAGCAGGCATAATCAACTTTCCTGTGACAGAGCCACAGTGCTCCTACTGGGTGACATGTACTCAGTTACATGTCTTCCTAAAACCAAAGGCTCGTTTTGCCAGAGAGAGGCAGGACAAAGGCCATCATTTTGTCTCCATACTCAAGAACAGCTCCTACACTATGCAGAAATGAAGTTCTTACCAGGAGAAAAAAATATGTTTTCAAAAAGAAACTCTTGAGAAGTTTCCAGTGCAATAGATTAGGTACCTG